TAGAAAAACGATTGACGAAACTGAATAAATTGATTCAATATCTACTATAGATATCTTAACATTTGCAGAATTCAACAGGAAACTGTTCAAAATATTTTTTTTATTGAAAGAAATCGCATCTTAAACCTCAAAAAGATAATTTTAGAATTGTAAATTCAAACCTTTACTTTTAACGCGTAAAAATCACCGTGGGATTGCCATTTGAGTGAATAGTTCACTATTACAATAATTTACTATTTTAAAAATGAAATAGAGATCATTTAAATGAATCTCAATGGAATAAATAATTATTTCAGGGAATGTATTCTGCGGTTTAATAAGGTTAGTTTTTAATCGCGACTAGAACACACTTTTGCAGTGAGGAGTCGGCTCGAAATCGTCTGAAATTATTTCAAGCTGTTTCTAATGCATTTAGCATTATGAAAAATGTTTGGTCTGGCGAACTGATTGATGAGTAAGATACTTTGAAGCGAACGGTGCATTTTCAATGTGGGTGTACGTATATATGTTAGAAAAACAATGTTCTTGCCAAAAAAAATCTTCCAACTCTCTTGTTTCAGGTTATTTAATGATTGCTTGTTGTTTTGATGATTTGTACGTCGTACCGTGGAAGCAGGATAGCAAAATACCATCCGTTTTCTCATGTTTCAGGCATTTCTTTGTGTGTGTCAAGGTTTTCATTGACATCGAAAACCTTCTGGTGACCTATATAAATATCGATGTTTTGGTACAATTTGCCATCACTATCCTTGAGACCAAGCTTTAAATCATGTGTCTTTCAATCTAATGTACTTTCGACAGAGGACTCAGAATGATCAATACAACGATGGTGGACCATGATCTCGAATGTTTTTTTGGAGAACTTAGAGAGTAATACTTTCATAGTTCATGGATTGTCTTCTCTAATATTGGGAATAAAAAATTCGCTCTTGTCTCTTCTGCTAAAATTTTCAACCAAGCTCTTGATTTACGTCTATCAGTTTTATAGTTTTCAATTCCATCGTCACCTCTGCAGTGTTATAATTCAAGAAATAAAATCTGAAATTACGTCATTTACCACCGTTTGATCGCGGTTCTCGTGCCCTTTTCATTTGCCAGATGGTCGTTCTTAATTGCATCGTGCTGTTCGTCGTCAGGGCTACGCTTCTGCCTGAATCCGTTGCTTCCCGCTGGGCAGCAGCGAGTGCGAAATGTAGTGACGTCACTGCGAAGTGGGAATTCGCTGTTCGTTTTTTCCGCCTCCGCTGGTTCCTCCTGGGAGCTGCCGCCGCCGGTCCTTCGTGGAAGGCGCGAGGGACAACGAACTCGTTACCTCTGGCGTCTCGCGGACGTGGAGCAAGACTACGACTTACCGTGCGCCCGGCTCCTTGAATTACTCTCGTCAACCGCTGCACTGACGTAGGTGGCTGGGGGGCGGTCAACTGATGTTACTGCAGTGCCTCGGACCGGGAAGTGGTTAAATTTTCGGACCACGGTGAAAGGATTTTCTATATAGGTAGGAGAATTCGTGGCAAATCTCGAGATATCCGTGGCACTAATTGTATTCAGTCACATACTGTTGTAAACGAGTTCAGTTTTGGTTTTAATATAAATTTTCTAGGGATGGCGGGGCAGTACTGTAGACAATGGTCGCTAATTCGTAATTTCCAATTTGCTGAGAAGTTAAAAAACACGACAATAAAACTACGCAGCTTTTAGCCATGAGATTTTCTTTCTTAGGAACCCGAGGTAACTACAAAATTATCTACTTTACTTATTTCAATGCGCACAGACATTGGATGCAGCCTCCGGCTTTGTGAGAGATCTCTAGCTTTTTTTTTTAGATATCTTTGAAGTCTGGGAAAATCCAAAAACAATGGAAACATTTTGATATTTGATCTGGGTTGTCGCCCGAAAAGCACAGATCATGACTGTGGTCGCGAAAGCCAGCGACATCAATTTCGATTTCTGAAAGAAAAATGTAAATATTACTCGCGCAACTTTTCTTGAACGATGACCTTGCGTCCCCCCTCTCTGGCACAATAAACAGATGAAGGCGAAAGCCTGCAGCGAGTACTGATGACAACATTCCAAACACGATCTTCACTGTCGCGAAATAGAAGCAATTTTATTTTGAAGTCGAGAACTTCTATCCTTTATTTTCCCCAAAAATCTAAAGAAATGACCGAAGCAGGTAAAGATCTATCACAGGAGATACCTGGAACACCTGATAAAGTTAGAAAGCTAATTATTGAGAACGTTACGAAGGCGTGACTCCAGAGATTGGCATTGCTTCATAAAATCTAGTGGCCGATTTCGTAACTAATAACCCCACTCTACCCGCATTTCTTCAATCCATAGTTCAAGAAAGTTGCGCGAGTAATATTATACTGTATGTTATCGTAAATTATCGTAATGCGCCTATCGACTGAATGCGGAATACTCAATACGACATAGCTGTCGTCTTGCGACAGGAAAGCCCCAAGGAACAGACCGCCCTCCCATTATTTTTTTGCAATTCACGTGATGGATTACGGAGCAGCAAACTTTTTTTATATTTCTAGTATGCAAAGAACTGTTGTTACAGCAATATACGTGAAGATTGATTCTGTTGAAATATTTAATTTGTTGCAGTGTTTTACAGATTATTTTATTGTTATTAAACAGTCGGCGTACTATTTTTTGAAAAATCATTTCGTGTGGTTTCGTTTGGCTGCATTTTTGCTCTTGCAGGCCACTAGTAACTTGATTTCCTCCGTACAAAGTTTCTGATCTCTGACGTCACGGGATGCAGAAAATGTTTCCGTTTAATATCTTCGGAACTTTTTGTCTTACATTCCAAAAAATGAGGGAGGAGAGGAAAATAATTCTTGAAAAGTAGAGATGAAAAACTTTAAAAATTAATAAAATATAAATAATGTTAATAAAATTATTTTATGAAATTATTTAATCTAAATTATGGTCTGTGGTTAAATTAAGTTTTGAAGTTTTTAAAGTTTTCAATAAAAAATGTGTAAAATAATTCTCGACAAAACCCTTTTAAACAAAAACTATTCCTTCCTCTAAAAGTCTTTTAGGTCGATTTTTAACAACGTAGTCATATTGCGACCACTGTGTTCGTTTCAACTATACGGGAGAGCTGTAGGAAGACTACGCAAGAACAAAACGCACACACACACACACACACACATCCTTGCCCGAGGCTGGATTCGAACTCTGCTGAAGGACAGCTTCTGCCCTTCAGCCTTGGCGACATCGGCTATCCAGGCCGACACCTAAACGTTTTCCGAATCGGTTCTCTGCTCCTTTGGAACATCCGAAGTGAAGTCCTGGCCGGGAGGCCGTGACCCCAACCGCCGCCGTGCAGGCAGAGCGGTGGACGACGCCACTAACAGGGTCACGTGGCCCGGTAAGCCCCCAGCACTTTCTCCTCTCGGGCGGCGGCCGCAGCTTCAGCAGATAAGACGGGCGACGGCGTCTGGGACATGTGCCACTGACCTCGCTGCGGTAGAGGGGCGACAACGCCGACAACTCATCGATGTTTCTGGACATCGATGAGATCGAAAATAAAACATCGATGTTACTGAACATCATTGCTAAAAATTAAAGCATCCAGGTTTTTGAACGTTGATGCTGAAAATTAAAACATCCATGTTGATAAAACATCGATGCTCGATATCAAAATATCGAGGTTTCTGAATATCGATGTGCTCAAAATTAAAACATCCACGTTTTTTGAACATCGATCCTGAAAATTGATGTTTTAATGTTTCTGAATGTCGATGCTCGAAATTACAACATATGATATTAATAAAACATCGACGCGAAACCATCGAGATTTTAAAACTGTATTAGTAACAATTGAAGCAGAAACCGGGTTTATATGCGTTAATAATCTATGAAGTATGTACACAGTAAAACAAGATGGTCACTTTGTGGAAAGCATGGAAAATTTGAAACGATCAGGGAATTACACTGCTCTCAAAAAGTCGGGAGGAAATGTGAATAAATATGCCACCTCCCCAGAGCACGTGACAGTGCAATAGGAAATTTGGCGGTTTAAATTAAAATAACATGCCAAAAAGTAAAATTGTATAGTAAAACCACTACGAAAATACTAACATGACATCATTGCATTCCTCTTTTTACGATCTAACCAGCTTTAGTGATAATCTTTGATATTTTAAATGGAACTGATGTATAAACTTTCTCGAAAACTAAAAATTATTCAAACAATATCTCTGCGGTATATTTCGTGACTCATAATTACTCATTGTTGAGCGAAAATAGCAATTTGATAACGTGAACCTTTCAGACATTAAATGGGTGGTCTATAATTGATGGGACACCCGGAATAAAGTTAGTTGATCATCTATTTGTCGTGAGCTGGCAATTCGCCTTAGCTTCAGAGTGCCCTCCCCATGTTACAGACTTCATTGGCATGGGAATTGAATCCAGGCTGCTTCCATTCGTACAAGAGAACTCAGCTTAGTTTGGATTGTTTGGACTGCTGTTTCTTTAGTGATTCCGAAATCGGCCGAACCGGTAATAGCGCTGATAGGCGTCACAGAAACCTTAGATTACATACGCCTGTCATTGCAATACGAAATGAGAGAAGAAATCGAGTAGCTAACAAGGAATTCCGTGGCGAACATTTGTTACACCTCATAAATATTGTTTGAAGCAAGGATCATTAAAATGATATTAAAATCGATTAAATCGGCAAAAAAGCATTAATTTTGACGTAAAAATGTAAAAAATGATTGTTAGTCGAAATCAACGAATGCAACAAAAAAGGATAAAAAAGCGTCATTTCCTTTTGTCCTCGCATAAAATTAATTTATATACTAACCGGCATTGTTCTAAGATGAAAATAAAAAAAGACCTTTCATTAAAATCCGCCCCCTTGTCATGTCCGTTAAAGTTGTTTTCTCAGTAGACATTCGAGGCTAGGCATCGTCGTTCCCAGGTCGCAGCGCTGTTAAGAAGCTCTTGAGCTTTCATCGCTACGTCGATGCGCGATGCACCACAGACTACGAGAGCCAAGTCATCGGCTCAAGCAGTCGCTTCGTGTCCCAGAGGTGAGGGTTCGGAATAACTGATCTATTATTCGTATGAGGTTCCAGAAAACTACATTTGAGTTGGAACTTGCGAACAGCCCTTGGTGGCATACTTGCTGGTATAAAAATACCAGCGTATCAGCTTCTTTAAATACCAGGCGGTTTTGAAAAAAATCTGTGGTAAAACAAAAGTACTTTTTCGGGCATGTGTCAATAATCTTTAATTTCCCGAAAAACGGAAAGCCACCAAGCCTTATCGAAAACGTCTTGAATATCCACAAATAAAGAGGACATGCTTCGTAACTTTGTCTGCGATTAATGCTAACGAGCTATTCAGAGTCCTCCGTGGATTTGTTGAACCTGAATCCAAACTGAGTGGTAGAGAAGTATCCCCTGCTAGTTTGTGACTGCGTGGGTGTGAGTTTGTGAATCGTGATCCTACTTCTCACATGCCTTTCACCAGGTAGAATTCACCTAAGCGCCACCGCACTACCCGCCAACGCAAAAGTGCGCCGAAAGGCTTCTATGTGGGTCCCGCCAGAACGCAGTTTACCCTCTCGATATCCTTCCCATTAAATGTCTGGGTCGGGCCGCCCTGCTAGCACAGAGCTACAGGCTTTTCACGCCGATGCCGGAGTCAAAGCAATGCGCCACTCGCAATGTGTTGGGAACAAGCCGCTCCTCTTTGCTCAAAGTGTCGGATCACTGGCATGACGAAGGCAAGATCCCATCAGGGGGCCACCCGAACTAAGGTCCGAGCCGCTCGGGACCCCCTCCCCGGCCCCACACTGCAATCACCTTTATGCTATCGCCGTGAGTACCGCCAGAACGTAAGCGACCTGATAGGTTGGTTCGTGGTCCCCGTCTGCACTTTTATATGTGGGGAAGAAGCCCTTCTCCCAATCCCGCCCAAAAGTCGACGGGCCAGGAGCCCAACTGGTGGGTTACCGAGCGACACGAAGCTCAGCCTCGCCTTCTCACTGCCTCCACCTTCCACCTTAAAGCTATCGACGTGAGTGTCGCCGCAAAACTCAGGATCCAGGTGGTCGTCTACAACTCTCCCCCAGAAATTGTTTGCCCCCACAATCATGATCCCCCCTTTGCGAGAGGCAGTTTTGCGATTTATAAATTTTACATTGTTTCTAGTAATGCTCAGATGAGATGCAGGTTGCGACGAAGTACGAAAATGACGTTCTTTGGAAATTCGCGAATCTAAGTCGAGAAAGTAATTAAAAAAGGACTAACAATGTAAGAGGATCACGGTTATAATTTTTTACGGCGCAAATGATTTACTTTGTGTATTGTATATTTTAATTATCAATAATACCAATATGGGTTGAGCTTTTTGTTAGAATATACATCGCAAGGTTGCCGATCCGGTGGCCGAGATCGCTAAGGCAGTAGTGCCGTAGCGATCTCGGACCGAAGGCTCGCGAGTTCGAGTCCAACCTCGGGCATGGTTGTATTGTGTTCGTCCTTTCACACCCCTATCATCATCATATCGTGTCATCCTCATAGTTACCATACCGTTACGCGCAATAGCGGTCGCTAAAGACATAGAAGTTGATGCGACCTTAAATAACAACAAAAAAAATGTTCAAGTTCATGAATAAAAAGATTCAACGTAACAGGGATGTATTGAAGTTCAAGCTTCTTTGCATTTACATAGAATAAAAGACTGCACTTGCGAATTGGCAAGTGTATTGGCATTATTTGATTATAATGTTAAACTACTCGCAGTTTCTGTCCTGATTTGGACCTTCAAGGCTGTACATCAACAAACAAAACAAAAGAAACCTGAATACATGAAACGACTCCTTACATCACACCATTTGTCATTTATTAACAGACCCAAAAGATAACACAACAGTTAACACATACATAGTACCTCCTTCGGTCAGTATTAAATAACCTACCCATAATGAAACCACAAAATCTAAAATTTCAATCATCACGCGTAATGTTCCAACAACCTCTTGAGGTAATAATATATTAAATGAATTTGCTTCGGCTGAATTTCCTCACAGTTCTTAGTCTTTGCGATACCATGGCCATTGCTAGCTGTCTCACAGACAAGAAATCAAGTAGCCAGTAAAATATACGGATTGTCATGATTATTTAACGCTATTATTCATTGCTAAAGACCGAATTTTCATGCAGTTAAACTCTCAAAAATGTGCAGTAAAAAAGGCAACAAATGCAAAAACATGCAATAAAAAGATCATGACTTTACAAAACGGTGTTACGGAGCATAATAAGTCGATTAATCCATTTAACAACTTATTTTTTAGATTTTGAATATGATATTTAAACTGAATTGAAAATGATTCTAGTTTTTTTTTATTATAATTAAGTTTGTATATGTTGTTTAAAGAAACCATATTTGATATTTTAAATATTATTCACCCACAAAATTAAACTGGCATAAAAACACAAATAAGAAAAATACAAATATACCTAGAGAAATAAAAAAAAAAATAATTAAGTTACAGAAGAAATGTTCTTAATTGTTTACATAATAACTTACAATTTTGTGTATTTCCAAATTATTTTCTGAGAAATTATTAGATCTTCATCAACTGATATATTTAAGACAGGAAAACCTTCGATCTACATTTATACTACTGTGTACCAAGCCTCACTCTGATGTACGTGTGCACGCAGCTACAAGCTGTCAAAAACTGCGTTCATTCACTCTCGTACCTCCCAGGGCAACGTCTGTTCCGAGAAATTCGATGAATTTCAAGCGCAGTGCAGCTTGTCACAAAGCTTCGCGCCCGAACGTAAGGTAAAAAATGACACGCGCAGCCCGTCTCGGGTTGATAAGTTGAGGGAAGACTGACAAAACAGATAGACGATCCGATTGGGAAGATAGAAACCCCGAACATCGCGTTTGCTGAGCGGACGCAACGGAGGGCAGTGGGCCTATCCCTGCCGCAATAACTCAGAAATTTTAATTCGACAATAGGCGTCATGGAAGCAACAGTCGCTTAATTCATAAGGCAACAAAATTCAGAATTGATATTAAATGGTGCTCTGGTTACACTGACCACTCGAATGCACCGCTGGGTTATCATATAACAATTTCTTAATTGAAACCTGTAAAAAAGATAAATTACAAGTTTATAATACAATTTTTGTATTTCATGCAATAAAACTATGAATCTTGGAAATTAGTCCAATAAAATCCCCAAACGTGTGATTTTTCAGGCAGCATTACCTAAAACGCGCAATATCGTGCAATAACCCCCCAAAAGTGGAATTACTTGCAAAATAAAAACACGTACTAAAATAACGTCCGTTTCATGATCCAAATTATGAGAACTGTGTTCAAGTCATACTCAGAACCGTGGATTATGCGACATTCGCTAGTCATCACCTCGGAGTGCAATTCTTCACAAGAAACCTGGTTCACAATTTTAGGATACGATATTAATAATAGTGCACCAAGAGGAAATTCTAGAGAGCTCAGAGAGTAATTTCGGAATCCTATGGATTTCTTAATGAATAAACCAGTGACTCCGGTTGATGTTGAAAGTTCTTGCTCAGCATATAAGCTTCTCTCATCAAACCACCACCACCGCCACCGCCAACAGGAGTATTATAAAGTTGAGAATACGTTAGCTATTTGCTGCAATAGTAGTTTAGGTGTAATCGACAATTTTAGCAAACAAACGCACATTCAAATTGACGATTTTCGCGCCCCGGTTGGGACGATGTTCCCCTGGGGGGCGATACCTGGTTGAGGAAAACCCCACTAGCAGACGCCCGATCTCGCCAACCAGCCGGAGAAGATCACTGGCTGTAAAGTTTGCAATTTTCGAAAATTCAGAGAGTGAAACGAGAATGACACCTGCGCAATTTTTATAAGCATTCTTTCCTTATTTCGAAAAAAAATGAACGTTTGGAGAAGTTTTGAGAAAAATTGTTTAAAAGTGCCTCATATTTCACACAAAATTACGCGGAAACTACTCGTATTTTCGAAAAATTAAACATGTCCTATCTTAACGATTTGTCTTTGAAGACTAGATTTGTTAAGGAAAAAATCTGTCTTCAGCATTACAGTTGTAGGAAGACAAAAAGTTGAACTTTCGCAAACTTCGAAAATGGAGAGTTTAACAAAAATGAGACACTTGGGTTGACTTCCACTGTGTTCGTGCGTGTTCCTTCACAAACTAAGTTAATAAAAATCAGGTTTTACAATGTCAAGCAAACGTAAACAGTTCCTGTACATTTAAAGAGAAACTGGAAGTGCTTGACAAGGTGGGAATGCTATGAAACAGTAGTTCAGTTCTACAGTAATTATAAAATCGTTTCTTTACACTACAAATAAATACTTTATTGATTTTGTTGTTTTTTTTTTTCCTCCATATCGAATTTTATTCGGTTTATCCGAAATTTCGGATTAGCGGGGTTCTACTGTAGTTGGAAATAAAATTAATTTTATTCAGAAAGTCATTTTCATCTTAATTTATATTGCACATTTGAGAAATAATGCCTTCTTTCGCCGTTTGAGAGCCCATTTCATGCTCCTTAATAGTAGATTTTAGAGCTTAAAAATGCGAAGTCTGCTGATGAGACGGAAAACATCTCAACGCGAGCGATGGCACCGAACGGTACAGCGTGGGCGGAGTGGAGGCGGCAGTCGCGTGGAAACAAAAGCCTGACGGCCAGCGACCCACTTCCGGTAGCGCCGTGTCGCGTCGCGTCGCGCCGCGCCACTGCTTCGTGAAATACTTCGACTGGCAGCGCCCGCCTCCGCTAGCGCCTCCCAGCGGGCTTCGCCGCTACTGTTTGTGTTTCGGCGCGCGCGCGCTATCTCTTGGGGGAACGCCGTGACTACGTGAAACGGTGGAAGCGGCGCTATCATAAATTGAAGGCGGCCACAAAACGAAGTGTACAGAGATATCAAAGCTTTCCCTTCCATCATTAATAGCAACTGTTGGCCACTGCTGACAATATAATAGCAAGTTTAATCCATACGCTCAATTTGTGAGTGCATTCGTTTACAGTTGGCTATTTTTTGCAAATGATCATAAAAAAAATTATTGAACTTTTAAATTAATTTTCGTAGATTTTTAATATTAAAAATGTGATGTATTTTTATTAATGCTGGAATTCCAAGAGTCTTTTAGATGTTCATATCTTTAGAGCGTCTTCAACGCCTGTAGAATTGATAAAATTTCCTGCAGAATTATGGGAATTGTATCAACAAATTTCATTACGTTTTCCTGTGTTCTATGCGAAAAAATTGTTCAGAATTTGAACGCCTTCATGATAAAATCTTGACATAATGTTAAAAGGGTCTTCGAGATTTTTTCGACATGGCTTAGAAGTTTGAAACATTTATTTAAATGTTCTTTTCCATTTAAATGTGTTGATTTTTTTGTGTATGTCTATTTTTTCTTAACATTTTGTAAGCATTCCAGTTTTCTGGATTTTTTAAATGTATGGAATGTTAATGTGATATTGTGTGTGGTATAATTCAATGAGATTTTTTATAACCTTAATCAGAGCGTGTCACAATCAGGAACGACATTAAGAGAGAATCTCTCCAACATCTATATGATAGTGCCACTTCTGTTTTTTATTGCAGTTTGTTGGCATTGCCCTGGTGATCTTCAGTGGATTTGCGATTGATGAAGTCATCTGGCACTGGCATCACAGAGAAGGTAAAGTTACACTGTTATCTGCATTTTAGTGGTTAGAGCATTTTAATCACCAGTTTTCAGTAGTGTGATCCTTAACAGATTCTTGATTTGAAGTTAATGGAGAAATGCCATATATTTAAATGTATCAAATTATCACACGTGTTTTTTAAGGACACATATTTCGCGTAAGACATTTTTACTTTCTCGTATGTGTACGTATACAGAGAAAGTTATGTAATGCTGCGGCAAATTGTAAATGTTAAAAATCGTCAAAAATACACTTTTGGCTTCAAATTAAGTTTTCCGAAAATTCCGTAGTTTCCTGTGAAAGAGCTTCAATTTTCGCATTTACAGTAACTCTTAAACATTTTCTTAAAAACGGCTTCATATTTTTAAATGAAAATTGCCATTTAGGACGAAGTTTCATTCTTCTTTAATACTCTTAAAGTAATATTTCGGTTCTTCTACAGGAAACCGAAAAATTGAGAAATTGCAAATAAAATGTTCTTTGGACAGCGATAGATGGCAGCTGTGGCAAGTCTAAATAGCTTGCCCAGGCCAAAGAAACTAGAAAACGGATACGAGAGTCTGTGCCATTTTGTAATACCACTAGTTACATTAGTTTTCATGGCCTTGAAAATATCCCGGGCCTTGGGGTCCCTCGAGTATCGCAAACAACTATTCCAGTCATGTCAAACATGCACACAGCATACGGCTCATTGTCGAAACGCTCTCTACAAACACCCAGGGCTGAGTAGTGTCTGCTGGCCCCTTTCTACACCGCCGTGCCGCTTACGATTGGCTCCGTCTCTGTCCATTTGACGCTGTGTTGGCTTATATTGGTCTCTTATGGATGAGACGGAATCAAAATCGAAATCGAACTGGCGCAGTAGTTTACATTCTGTCCCATAGAGTGCAGTAATGGCTTCTTTGGATTCGAGGCCACTCAGACTTTCAGGCTGAGTATTTTTATTTGCTCTTGTGATTTTATTATGTTTTCTGTTTAATTTTCAATATTAATTAGTAAACATGACTACTGTAAAATTAAGTTGTTTAAATAAAAAAATGTCCTATATTTCGAATTACGCGATAAATACTCAGTTTTGAAAAATTGTACATGACCTTATTTGAAAATCTATCTACAAGGAACAGAATTCACTAAACGAAAAATCTCTAATGTAATATTTTAGTTGTAGGAAAAGGCCTTTTTTTTTAATTTTCAAAAAAATAGTTTTGAATCAACACAGGACCTGCGCCATTCTCTTAAATGTTTTTCAGACTCCACCAACAAAATTTAATCAAAATCGGTGGCGGCATTTTTTTTTTTTTTTTTTTTTTTTGAAAATTTTGGAAGTGTTCCAGGGACTTCATATAAAGTACCCCCAAAATTAAAATATCGGTTTCAAATTGAAGAGGCTGCGACATCAGCCAGAACGATTGAAGAATATTAGTTTTGGAGAAAATCGGCTGAACGGGTAGCTGATAGCGTTGTAGAGACTAACAGCCGTTTTGCCGTCACAGTTTTCGGTACGAGTATCATAGCCCCACAAAAGATGGATTCTTACTACACCACATGTTCGAGGATTTTCGCCCTAAACTTATTTATCCACTTTTCCGTTACTAGGGGCCTGTAATAAGTTTTTCTGACGAAAATTCGCCGTTTTTTCGCGCAATATTACATAACTTTCTCGTACATACGGATTAATTTACGTAATGTAGTGAATGTTATGCAATGCTGCGGAAAATCGATTTCGAGATTTGGACGGAAATAAACGTTTTTGTGACCCTTGATACCGAAAAAGTGTTGGATTTTTCTAAACTGTTCATAGTTTTGTTTTCCATTTGAATAAACCTCTGTCGATCTGGCCTCGCTATTATGCTCACTATAGCTCTACGATTTTGAAAAACATTAATTAATTTTTGGGGTACTTTACGTAAAGACCCTGGGATATTTTCAAAATTTTATTAAAGAATATTTGCAATTTTCTTTTAAATCTTAAAAGAATAGAGTGAAATGCATTTAGGAAGGTAGCATCGATCCGAGTTTTCATTGTTAACTCTGAATTTTCGAAAATTGCAAAAGATTGAACTTATAAACGTCTTTCTACCGCTATAAATCTGAATTTTTCTTCAAATGAAATCTGTTCATAATTATTTCTTTCATGAAGGTCATATACATTTTTAAAAATATTTTCAATGAAATGTGCGCAATATGAAGAATATCAAAAACAAGAATATCTCGAAAACGGCTCTAAATGTTTTTCTTCAAACTTTTTATTCTGATAATGCTGCTTGCACTGTTTAAGAAGATGTACTTTACTTTTACGTTAAACATGAAGCTGTACAAATCTTGAAATGTTAAAATATCTGCTGCTAAAATAATTCTCTTGTATAATATCCTAATCTATCTGTAGCAAGTATTGTAGTATAATTTCTAAGCCAATAACTTCATCTTGATCAGGTTTATTGTTCAGTTTTCATGGTCCCTTGTTTGCTCCTGAACAGTAGTGTAACTTCACTCTCTCCACCCAAGACATCATATTGACTCGTCATACACGATTGTAATTTAGATTTTGATTTATTTCGTCAAAAACAGTTTTAAAAAAAACTGTATGTGACGTATGGGGGAGAAGCTTATCTGCGCACGTTTTGAGCTCCAGAATGACTTCCCGTCATTTTAACAATAAGTAGATGAAAAATGAATAAAAATTGTATTGTACAATAATTGTAACCATTGTATATGTGACTCAATAAATATTATTTTTTTTATTTTTATTATTATTTTTTTATTTTTATTATTTTTTTATTTTTATTATTATTTTTTTATTTTATTATGTTTTATTATTATTACGTTTTATTATTATTACATAAAATTCATTTTGGGTGCCATTTTGCAGCACCACTTGTTTATTACTACCCAATAGAAACGAAAATGTTTAAGTGACGTGCGTGTGTGTTGCAGCGTACTTCTACAGCTCGATGCACGGCGTGGCGATGGTGCTGGGCGTGGCGCAGGTGGCGACCTCTGTGCTGCTGGGGCTGGGCGCCGTCAAGGAGAACCCGAAGCTGCTGCAGCCCTGGCTCGTCTTCTTCAGCGTGCAGACGGTGCTGCTGCTGCTGGCCATGCTGGCCACGTGCGTCGTCATCATCATCTACGTGGAGCCGCTGCCCATCGGCATCTCGCTGTTCCTCATCACCATCACCTACTGCTGTGAGTACGGGCGCGTTACGTTGGTTGGTGATTACGGGCGCCGCCCGAACCAGGATTGTTGCGTTGGTTGGTGATTACGGGCGCCGCCCGAACCGGGATTGTTGCGTTGGTTGGTGATTACAGGCGCCGCCGGAACCGGGTTCGTTGCGTTGGTTGGTGATTACGGGCACAGAAAATGCTATTATGCGCGCGCGTTTTCTTGAGCCCTCGTTTCGCTAGATGCGAGAGGAGTGGGGAGTTTGGTTATTTTGGCGAAAGGAATGTTACATCGAATTTGAAGATCACTTTTCGTTGCAAAATACTTTCTTATACACGGGAGCGAACAATTCTCGTTACCATATTTTGTCTACAACGCTCGTTGCTGTTATTTATTCTTAATTCAACTAATATTGGGATAGGAAGGAGGGGGTAGATATTGCGGGACTCGAGAAAACGTGCGAATATAATATGCACCACGAGAGTGCTATTTCCGACGGTGGCAGTTTGAACATTATTCAAACAAACAATTTAAATACGTATTGTATAAGTCAGTAAGAATAACAGATTTATACGTACACGAAAAAAGACTTCAAATTAAATAAAGAAAAGTATTGTTAAAAAAAACTAAACTTTTCATTACCGAGTGCCAATCTCGCATCAACCAGCAACATTCCATATTATAAATATTATCCAATGATGCCTTTCACATCACCCCGTTACGCCAACTTTCTGCGTATAGTTTAATCATGCATAATTATTACACATTTTTTAAATGACTATTAAAGAATTGTTTTTAAGACCTATCAGGGGCTCTTGGCCCTGTGCCTTTGCGTTAACACAGAATCGCTTTCTGCAGTATACATATCGCTGGGCTTATTTCTTGCCCAACCGTAATATGTCAGCCGAAGCTGGGCCCAAGGCACATCCTTCTCGGTAGAGTTGTCATCCAGTTAGTATATAGATCACTGTCTGTAAGTAAACAATAACACATGTTTTTCTTGTTGCAGATACGTTTCGCTACTTCATCCTCGTGGTGTACAGCTACTACAGGCAGCTGAATATCGTGACCCATGGGCAAACGGCGGGTGTAATGCAGCTTGCTTAACATTGACGAATGTTCGTGAATTACTCGTTAAAAGACTTGTAGCAGCATTCTCTGCTCTCCGCTCTATGCCATATCACAACCACCCTTTCGAAACGAAATTAATTAGGCAGACAAAGTACGAAATAAAGTTGACATTTCGAAAGGGTGAATGGCTCTAGGGCATTTCAGTACTTTTGGGAAGATACTGAATCCAGCGATGCAACCAAGGAAAGCTTTAGTCACGTTTACGAATACCCATTGATGAAAGAAGAACGTGCATTATGACGGAGAAGCCTAGTGCCTTACATAGTACTTCGTTTTTACTCAGTGTAGAATTTTACTTACAAAGATCATGAAGAAAATTTTTGAACTTTTTAAAATGTCTTCCAATATGATAACTTCTTGAAATGTGTGGCTTGTGAAATGCACTATACGAAGCCTAATAAGTTTTGATTGATTTTCTTTTTCTCATGTGCTGTAATAAGTGAATGAAAATTTTCAGATCATTTATTTGAACATTTTGGTTTTCTTGAATAACTGTTAACTTTCCAAAACCTTTATTTTTTCTTCTCAGGATTGTGGATTCATACATGTACTGATGCAAGAAAACAGGAACCTCGGTTTTTTTAATGAGTGAGAAAAGTTTTTAAACTTCTTAATGGCTGATAGTTGTAGAATATCAGAATCGTATTTCGTGAAGTGTTGTATTGGTTATTAAAAATGAAGTCTTGATTTGTGTATGTAGGTGCTAACAGACATCTTTTTATAAACAAATATGTTCTCAGTTACGAGTGATTTTTAGGGATTCCATTTTCAATAAAAAAATGTATTTAAAAAATGTGGGTGTGAGTTGGAATGATATAATGCCATACATTCCCCTTTGTAAGTAAATAATATTACGTTAATGTGAAATTATTTTGCACGTAACAGTGAGAATATCTTGCCTTTCTTTCATTGTTGATAACTTATCTCTGATCCAACTTGTCATAATTGTCTCTATTACATTTTTTCCCAAGTCTTTTATGTGAAGTTGTTGCATAATTTGAATTAGTCTTATTTAAGCAGAAATTTGTAATAAGCTTCATCTGCGCTAATATGTAAATGGAAATTAAAGAGTGAAAAGAGGAATGATTTTTTTTATTTTAAAAAATGTTTTAGAAAAAAACAGACAGTGTGTTATTCTTTTTTGATAGTGCTACAACACAATACAATACAAAACAAAATGGGCCAAAGATTAGAATTGTAAGATGTTAGACATCAATGAAAATTTATTCCTTAAATTCTCAAATAAAACAGTAGTTAAAACAGTAGTTTATTGTTCACCATTGCAAAATCTGAAAATTGGTACACAATGAATTGGAGTATTATAGTTATAAATGAATAGAACCTTATACTGAATGGCTCAAATTACCATTTGTTACTCTCAATGGGCAGAGAGTCACGGGTTCTTCATCAACTTCCCGTTGACTGCTTCTTCATATGAGAAATGATAGTGTTTCTCAACAACAGAAATAACAATTTATAATACAAGACTTCTGTCTTACACTTTCACAACTTCCATCAACTTTTCTAAAAACTCGAAAATTATTACTAATGTCTCTAGCAAATAATGTACACAATTGCATAAAACCCAGAAACTGTGAAACTGAGAAGCTCTCGATCATATCTCCATGACATCACGAAAAATTCTGTTTATCCAGTCTTCAAACTTTAGATACTCCCATTGCTGGGTAGAGGCAAATGACATAACTGGCAACATAATCCTCTGCATTACACATGCACATCTGTGACTCGTAAATTCGAGGGGAGGAGGGGGGCAAAGAAAAAAATTCTCCCAACATAATGCACTCGATACCGTCAATAATTGACTAAACTTGTGTACTTTCAATAACACGCGAAATTAAAATTAAGTTGCAACTAGTGTTAGTTTATTTTATTTATTTACGTTAAAACCTGTGTGACGTGTGATGGGTAAAAGTTTATTTGAAGTTACATTTATGTCCAGTACCAAAACAAGGGGCCATCTCAGCGTTAGCTCAAGGATCAGGGGAACTGGACGGAAACCTGATCGAGATGGGGCCATTGGCCCGGAAGCTGAAGTACAATACAATCAGCCAGACCGAAAATTGGGTTTCCCCTCGGGTCACTGCGCAGCGCTCGACAAGTCTCACGCACCTATTGTTGAGCCACCGAAGGTCGTAAGTTCACGCGTGTTGAAGCGAAAGGTCAAAGAATAAATGCAGTAACAGAGACAAGATCTAAAGGCGTGGTACAATACTTAGAAGGGCATTAGACGCCGGAGAGAGCGCCAGTTACGCGCTCTTTGGTTTCAAAATGATTTCAGATAATATGTAATATCTTGAATTCTGAATGTCATGAAAGCGAGAATTTATATTCCTAACAATTATAAAATTTTTTCGATTTTCTGGGGATTGTGCAACTTAAGCACGAGTCGCCACTGGTTAGAACAGATATTCTAGAGCTCAAGAAACCATGCTTATTCTCCCCACTGTTCGCCACGAAGTTTTGAACCGTTTTTGACGTTAAATATATAAAATACATAACCGTATTTACCAGAATTGTATAATTTGACTCTGAATATAAGACGACCCTCTAATTTTGAAGAGGTCTCTTCAGATTTTTTTTTAAAACTTGGACCTAAGTGTTTTACTAGTGAAGCAAAATAAAATTGCAAATTGTCTTGTTCATGAAAATGTTAAGACTTATTACCTGAATTATCATTTTCTTGTCCTTTAAAAGCGATATAATTGTAATCGTGGTTTTGTCACTATCTTCACGTGTGTTTTAGACCATTTAGGTAGCGACATCTGACTTTTTAGTCCCCCTGAAAGTTTTGTGCATTGAGTTTGCGTTGTTCTTAGTCTTTCACCAGGCGCCACATACGAACGTTCTGTCACCAGATTTTCGATCTGACCGAAATTTGACGAGACCTTCGGCACTTATCGGTGGTCTCTGTTTCTTGAGCGGACACTTGAAACTAGCTTTGTTTACTGTTCGTGGAATCTAACTCGTACGCCTGTGTCCCTCCCTTTCGTGGGTAAAGACGGAGACAGCAAGTTTCCAAATTTGAGGAGTTTAATAAGAAAATATATTTTTTATCATTCTTTTCTGTGGCAGGGTTGCCAGATTAAGGGATAAAATTAATTTCCTCACTTTCCCATTTTCACTCTCATTGCTCCTCATAAATATCCGCGCTTGAAAAGTTTACCTCAGAAATGCTTACATATGAATGCTTCTTCCCTATGCGCCTCAACGGAAAACGCTGCCAGAGACACTGTCCCTAGTCCAAAAGACGACTAATTTTAAATGGCGTGTTCTAAAATTAACTGCATGTACTGCCTATGTGATATATTTATATACTAACGACAAGGAAGCTATTACTTTTAGAACTCATCCTATACTAGAGGTCTAAAAACTAATATTACTCGATTCTCAAAGTAAATTTAAACGCATTAACAAATAATTGTTGAAAAAATCACGTATAAAGTAAAAAAAAATCTAAAGAATCAAACTCACTGTCAACTTCGTTGTTATTTGAAAATTTCCTCGTAATCTGAAAACTCGCCCAAAACCGCACATGTTTTGATGCATTGCCGCCCTTCGGATGGTATTCCGTGATGCCATTTTTGTCCCGCGAGAGAAAGCCTTTTCAAACTTAATTCCGCACAATCTGTACTCTGATTGGATCGAGAATCAACACATCTGTCAATGTGTTTTTTTTCTCCATTCATTTTAGTCCCTTCCAAATACAGATTCGCACTCGCCGGGCGTCGAACTGAGATTCCTTGAGGTCTCGTCGAAGTTGTATCGTGTAACAAACTCTCGGCATTCATTTTCACGGTACGTTTCATGTGATACATTGTCATTTGTTTGAGATTCTATCTTTACCGGCCATTTCAAAAATATCGACCCGTCAATTTCGCGGTGGATGCCGAGAATACGACCGCGAATACACTTACGTATTGTAGATACACGCGATATTGTTACAGTCTTCGCAGCTTATTGTTAAGTCAACATGAGTTTCGTGACATGGAGAGGCAATGTAAAAACATAAAGCCTCACCGGCGAGTCTTAATTTGACTTAACCTGTGAATATAAGACGACCCTACGTTTTTTGTTTAGAGAAAAAAAGCTTGTCTTATATTCGGGTAAATACGTATACTAAAACTGTCTTTAGTTCAACTATCAATTTTGGAGATTCTTGGCTGACCGGTTTAGCAGCGTTGTTCAGACACACGGACGTTGCAGTCATTCAATTTTTCGTTGTCAAGGACCCACAAAACACGCATTCTGTCTACAATACGTGTTAGAGGATTTTTATTCTAAATTTAGCAACTGGATTTATTCGCCTTTTCGTTACTAGGGCCCGGCAATGAGTTTTTCTGTCGAAATTTCGCCGGTTTTTCGCGCATCATTACATCACCTCTCTCTACTGCGTAAGTGGTAGCGAGACAGTAAAATAGAATTATGATTCAACTATAGTGAATATACTTAAAAATATTACCACCCACCCACCCATACACGTGTTGCCCATGCTCCTATTGCATCGCATGTTAGAAGCTACGGGTCACCTTATCTCTAACAATGAACTGACCCAGACACAGGTCAAGTGCTGATAATAGAATGAAATCATTCTCTTCATCCAAGAAGGTCACTCCACCATTGCTGCTGCCAAGTTTTGTGCATTGTATTGATAGTTTTATACATATTATAGTAATAAGCTCCCATTGAAATCCTCTGGACAAAGAGATGTTGGAAGGCAAAATAAAATAAAATGGCGTGTACTTTCTCGCCCGAATTTTCACGCAAAATTACGCGAAAAGTACTCAAAGTTTCGAAAAATGTTATGTGATTTTATTTCAAAATCTGTCTTTAAGGAATATATTTTATTAAAGGAAATATCATAATCTTTAATATTTTAGTGGTAGGAAGACGCCAAAAGAACTTTGAACTTAGGGAATTTTCGAAAAATCAAGGTTTTTAACGAACATGAGACCCGGAGCATTCTCTTAAACGTCCTTCATACTATCCAACAACAAAATTTAATTAAAAACGATGGGGCCATTAATTAAAAAGAGAAAAAAATGGAAAATTTCTCAGGGGCATTATGTAAATTACCCTTCCAAAAATACATTAAAATCTCGGTTTTATATTCAAGGGGCCGCGACATCAGCCAGATCGATTGGGGAATATCAATTTTGGAGAAAATCGGCTGATCAGATTAGCCTCTAGAGTTGTTCAGACAGAAGTTTTGCCATCATTGGATTTTTCGGTTACAAGGACTCACAAAACATGGATTCTGACTATTCCACATGACAGAGAATTTCCCCCTAAATTTAGCAAATGGATTTATACACTTGTTTGCTACCAGGGCCCTGTAATAAAGTTTTTCTGCAGAAATTTAGCCGCATTACATAACTTTCTCTCTACTTCGTAGGGAGAAAGAAAAATGGTAAGTAGTGAAGTAAAAGTAAATAATGAACTGGAGCAACACTTTAACCATGCTAACATCACTGCCACCGTCTGCCAGGTTCCAGTAGTAACATTAAAAATTTAAATGCATCTCTTAATTTCCGGGGGCACTTTATACGTGTTCAAAATTTACTTACATATAACGCCAAATACTTTTTTTTTAAAAATTCTTGCTTTAATGCAGCAAAGAACACATTAATGTGGTAAAAATCTGGTTGGGTTAAAATCTCAGAATTTTTTGATAGTTCCATAAGTTATCTGTCCGTTTGAACTTCTTCTATACCCTATTTTGAAGCCATAGATTTTTTCTTATTGCAATCTCAATCATTTCATTTATTTTAGCACCTGAAAAAGATCAATTTTTATATGCTGTTTTTGGACAATATTAGTATTTTTCATTAAATGTTTAATTATACCATGCCAATTTTCCAAAAATGAGAAAACATGCTTTTCTTGAAACTGCTCCACTTGCCCACAAATTTCCAAAAATGTCAAAGAAAGTTCCAAAAGGTCTTATTTTGTTGAATACTGCTCCAGAAACAATTATAACTCCACATGTTCTTTATTTCCACATGTCCTTTAGTGATCCTTCTCCTGTCTCCTATCTCTCACTTATCATTTTCCCACCTGTCCCAACAAAACTGGTCACCACTGAGGGTCACAGAGACCTAGTTTTAAAGGCCTAGAACATATTGTTTCTGAGTTTATTGTGATTATACTGTGTGTTATAATAACCGATTTTGTATGCTTTAATAGTATGCGATATTCAAAATATCTTAACACTTATACGGAAATATTTTTTTATAATACCAAGAGAGACACACAGTCTCAAAGACCGCTATTTGTTATTGGGTGTTCATAGTGGAATATAAAGGTAAAATAAATTAAAGGCCTGTTTCACTCATTTCATATATTTATTTAGAGTATACTAAAATATATTGTATTAGATAAAAGCACGAAAACCAGTAAAAACATTGAAATTGTTGCAAAAGATCTAAATTGTTGAAAAACATTGAAAGTTTTGGATTATTAAGAAAATATTAGGATTATTGGAAAAACTTTGACAATGTTGGAGAACATTGAAACTGTTGGGAACATTTGAATACTATGACTGTCAACTCTTGCACACTTGTTTCTCCACTATTGCATAAACCAATTTCTCTTGGTGCCACATGATGTTTCTATATGTGTTAATATCCATTTGATGTAGGACCGAGAAGAAATCATCCTATTCAGCAACAGTAGAAGATTAGGAGGCGACACTGCTAGAATTTTTTCAATATTAACTTTTTACTATTACTTTTTAATATTCAATTTTTAATTTTTTGTGAGATTGGAAAACTGTAAAGAAAAACACAATTGCATCCACAAAAGAACGTAAATTCAATTAATATTATATTACAGTTCACAAAATGCAATGCAATGGAATGTAAACCACTTGACCATGAAATATAGTAAATGAAGAATACATTTTCTCCAAGTTAAGAAACTGTAAATTAATATACACTGATTGACTATAATTTTTTAATCAGGAAACTCCTTCCTGATCATTAATTTAACAATTTATCTGAGACATGTTCTTAAGCAATTTCACAGCAGAAAGGATAGCATTTCAACCAGCGTGTTAAAAAAGAGTTGGTTTCATTCACAAAAAAACATTTCAAATCGCAAAAAACTACTTATGTGTACTTTTTGCATGTGTATAATTGACACTATGCAGTCACCTATTTTTTGGATGCAATTACGCTGGGAAATACGTTCTGCAAACAGTAAAGTAATCCACGTTGTGACTACTTTATTGAGTAAGATACATATTTTAATAATTAAATTTGCTCAAACAATCCCATTCAGGGTGACAATTCTTTGAACAAATTTAATTATAATTTACATATATTTATGTATAATTATAATTAGTTACAACTTTTAGGATGTTCATAATGACACTACAGATTTAAATTTATTAAATTTCCAACATTTCAATAAATTAAAATCTTTCAGTCTTATGATTAACAATAACAAAAAATCTGAAAACAGAATTACTGACTTTGCAATTAAAATAAATTTATTTTTGTTTACAAATTTCATTAACAAATTAAAATTCACACCCGGAAATAACATGAACTCAATTATAATTACATTTAATTTCAGTTTTAATGGAGTAATTATTTACAATAATGATATTTCTTCTTTCAACACTGGTTCTGTAGATTAATTAATTAACCTGTACCATCCTGTAATTTCTACAATCCTATCTACAAACTACTATGTGAAAATAATAGAAACTGATGTTGAACCATCTTCCACTTCACAAGACTTTGTTTGAATGTTCAGCAAATAATAAACTTTTTAATATCACAGATACTTGGTATGTTTTTTTTCTTTTGCCATTTTAATATATTCCAGCAAAATCCCTGTCAACTGCATACCTAAACTTTTATAAGGAATCAAATCTACAGCTCACAAGTGTTATTTTATTCCGTAAACTTAATCAATCATCAATTTTTGCTTACTTGAGATGAGATAACAAGTTCATGCCCCTAAAAATATTTCTAAAATTATCATCTGCTACTCATATGCAAACAAATCTTGGATATTAGATATCACTGAGCTTTTTGTACAATTTAATGTGAATTCAGGGCACATTTTACATGGAGGCCTGGTTTCCTGAACTTCTGTAACAAGGCTGCATTAACCTAGATAAAAAGAAAGACATAATTATTACTAATATTAACAAGTGATAAGTAGCTCTCACAATCCTTCTGTTAGAAACTAGTTTCTGAATAATTATTTTCTGGTATTTTCTCAGCTTCTTGTGATGTTTGTAGGTGAAAGAATCAAGAGTCCTAGATTACTGTATTTACCCGAATATAAGACAAGTTTTCTTTTTGTTCCCTAAATATATCATTTGAAACTTACAGAGTAGTCTTATATTCACAGATTATCCCTTGTCAGTTTGGATTTATATTTCTACACTGCTTTTACATCCCAAGAAACTCAAATGCTGACAAAACAATCTACAAAGATAAATAATATCACATGTTTCTATATTACATATTATATTCATGGATGAATTGTTTGCATTCACCACAAATTTGATGGGGATTCAGACCAATAGCTTTGAATGGGCCAGTAAACAGAGATACACAACAAATGGCATTCTGGGGCAATGGGATTCACAATGAAAAGTAAAAATGAATATAATTGTTGTCAAGACTTTGTAACATGATGTGTTGATTGATGAGGCCCCATGAACTTTCGGTTCAACTCTTCGTGAATGTGAATTTGCATTTTGCAGGAAATCATAGCTGTGTGCCAAAGGGGTCGTAATCCCTCCCGTCTTCTTTGAAAATTTTGAAAGGGGCACGGAGCCTTACGCAATAACATATTTAATTTAAATAAATATATTAAATCCCTGATGAAGATGTGTATATTCATTTAAAAATTTACCATGTGATGACGAGTGTAATAGTAATGTGATGTAACTGTAAGTAAGTAAGTAAGCAAGTAGTCCTTAAGTAGTTGACTTGCTCTTTTTCAATAATTAAAATTAATTTTATTTAATAGACCAATTCAAGGCACAAATGTGAAAAAACTTTTGAATCTATCCTTGAACAGGGGCCAGTTTAGACTTGACTCCCCTATACAAACCCCCATAAGTGTCAAAAATTCAACATCAGTAAAATGAACTTAAAATGACAAAAACATACGAAATTATCCACACAAAAATGCAGCAGGGTTGATCCCCAATACCTGCACAATATTCCAAAAATTTTAAATTTTAAAAAATGGACTGAAAATTAAGTAAAATACCATATGTATTTAAAACAATCTTAAAGGATAAGGGAGCTCCAAAAACGCCCTCTTCTTTCAGCCTGCAAACGCCAATGCAAAAGAGGAAATAAATAATAATAATAGTAATAATAATAATAATAATAATAATAATAATAATAATAATAATAATAATAAAAATAAAAAAGAAAGAAAAGAATATCATCTGCATTGATAGAAGTACACATACAACAGACAGAAAGAAAAACAAAATTTCCTTCACAAACTTTGAAGCTCTCTCATGTCTTACTTGTGAAAAGGAGGTATGAGTTTGCAGTTCAAAACTCAAATCATGTGAAAATTAAACAATGCAAATTCCACGTACATTCTGTCAAAGAAAGTGCAAGAACTATTGACGGACAGGTCATGAACCACAGTGCGACAGGAAGAAAATCCGGAGACACTGAAAGGAACGTTCTTAGATGGAATCAGATGAAAGTCAAACGCCAAATTCAAAGCCCTGAACTGGTCCGGGGGAAGCATAGCGGCAAAAGTCATAGCCAATACTAAGTCTTAACATTCCCATCAACAAGACAATTTTCTAGTCAATTAGATAATTTTATTTTACTTTTTAAATTAAGAATTAATGTAAAAAAAGAAAATGACAAGGCCTTTTCAAAATTAACGAGTTGTCTTGTATTCAGAGTCAACTTATATTTGGGCAAAATCAAGTATTTAAGAGGAAGCATCTGTTTTAACCACAGTTTGTTTTGTCTCCGTGTCTCGGAGAGATAGCATTTGTCCATACCTACTCCACACTAATTACATCATTTACCTACTGGGTAACAAGCCCACAGGCTAACTACATTTCAATAAAAATTTAGGCTGTCAAACTTACAAAGCAATATCTGGGTCCACTTCCTCTATGCTCTCATTGCAATCTTCGTGCCTTCGTTGTTGCCGTGACTTCTTCTTTATAAACGTGGGTACAAACGGTTGTTGTGCCTCCAAAGCAGAGCGATATCGTATCAAATAGGCTTGCTCAATGCGGCGGAAGAACATAATCCGAATTTGAGGGATTTTGGTAATAGTTTCTATTTCCAGGGAGCCAAACACCTGAACCAAATGTTGGAAAGGCGGAGGTGGGTCAATCACTGTGAGGTCCAGAGCCACACGGTAAGGTCCTCCTTCTTCATCAACGCTGACCTGAAATACGAAAAAATAGTTGTATGAAAACTATAGTGAGAAAAGAAGAAACTATGCTACAATTCAGCTTATAGTGTCTGGTGGCAGAATACAGAAATAAAAAGTACAGAATTTAAAAATAAGAACTTAATATTTAGCATATGGGATTGCTGGCAGAAAGACTGCCCTTAGGCAGGGTTCCGCACCTAAGTTTGCGACCCAGGCTGGATCTGAGAATCTTATTGAACAGGTGCGCCTCACAGGTGATCCCCTAGTACACCTTGGGTTTGAACCTCACTTTCTCCACCAGATGTGGGTCTCAGTTAACTACATCCGAGCTACCTGGTTGGGAGAAAATGAGATCTCGTTAGGGCAGAATATTGTCAGAGGGATTTAATTTTGCTGTGCATCCACAGTAACCATGCCACAAGAGTGACATGGCTACTGTGGAATTTCCGCCCTTTGAAAATCCAAGCTTTGGGGTTTCAGAGGACAGTAAGCTAACTCCTCACCTACCAAGGTGGCAAGATGGTAACAAAAGAAGCAAGGTTGGCTAAATTTTGCCCAACACCCAAAAAAACTGTATAAAACCGATTTAAATTATTTAATGATTTTTAAAATTATTTCATGTAAAATAACAAAATTTACAATTTTGAGAATTGAAATATTCTTTATGAACTCAAATTCAAAATAAACTTACAGTAAAATACTAACATGTTTTGCAACTTTGCTACATGTTAGGCATTTGTTACTTTATAACACAAACAGAATAATTTGATATTTAAAATGGTGCATGTATGAAATCCTTGGACCTATACATACTTGGCAGTTCCAAAAATGTTTCAGTTTGATTGATCAAATGATGAAAATCTGTGTTTTATACAATCTAAATATAAAAAATAATGATTAAATTTGTTCAAAGAATTGTCACTCTGACAGGGATTCAAACACGGGTCTCCTGCATTACGCCCAGTTGCTCTAAACACTAAGCTATCAAGACAGGATAGCAAAAATTATATTAAAAAATAATGTTCCACAATACTCTCAGTCCCGCCCAAAAAAACTCCAAACTACTGATGGATCAGGTCTTTCAAAAAAACCTGTTTTTAATAACCTTAAAATAATTTTGCTTTTGTGAAAGAATACAACACTTACAAGCCAAGGAATGACATTTGGTTCTATAGTCCCAATAACTCGAACTTTGGTGTTGGTCCACCGTGACAAATCTGTTGCAGAGCTTGCTTCTTCAACAGACATGGGAACAAAAGGCAGAGGTGGTGGTCGAAATTTCATCTTCCAAACAGCTTGTTCCACACGAAATATCTCCTCCCGAGACACATCACTGGTCAGATTCTTGGAAATTGTAGCTATTGCAACTTCCTCTTCATCTTCATTCACCACAGGAAACTGAAAAGAAAAAATGTAAGAACACTCAAACAGGTTAACTTTGAACAATTCCAGCACTGATACAAAATATCTACGCTTTACTTCTTTAATTTAACTGAAAGCGTAATATGTTGGAGTGCATAGAACCATTTGTTAAAATGATCCCTAACCAAAAATCTACATCACAAGGCCTAAGAATTTTATTCCTTTGAAAAAATTAGTGAGTTACTGGTGACAACTGAGAAAAGTTCTAATAACAAATAATTAAGAAGAATAAAATATTTCCACCATTATTCTCTTGACTGAAATATGCATAAATTGATCTTACTATTGGTTCAAATTGGTTCCTTGGTGGTAAAAACTTCTTGACATTCATTCACATTTAAATTACAGAAATAAAAAGTTTTCAAAAAACTATTTTGATGGAAATAATTAGAAGCAGTAAAAGCTAATGAAATATTTGAATTGTAAAACATTAATTAACAATCATCTTGGTAAAATAATACTGGTATAATACCTGTCCTGACTTGTGGTGACTTGTCCACATGACACTGTTTCTTTATTTACTTCCACCATCAAAAATACAAGACATCCCCACTGACTAGGTATAAATATTTAGATACATTTCTTTTACGGTTAGGCAAATGAAAATTAACTAAACAAATTTAGTTATTATTTACTTTATTCGCCTTTTCTTCTTCTGATATCTGACGACTTTAACCATGTTCTGTCAGAAGACGCGCCAAATGATCGGTAATATTTTCGTTTGTTTCGTTGCTTCCTCCATGCCCCATTCTGCATCTGCATATTCTGTGCGCAACATCAGACCAAGGAGGTATAACCTCCTTGCTTCAGACGTCTCAGGACAGGCAGCTGTTGAACGCAAAGAAAAATTATTTCTAAATAAGTGAATATTTGTTTGGCTACTTAGTATTGTGTCGAGATCGGGAGGAAGGCTTAGAGATCGTTGTGCAGAAATATTTTATGGTTCAGGAAATACTTGGTAGTTCCCTTCGGTTCCCTTCAAGAGGTTGTCAAGACTTGGTTGTGACGTTTGACATGCAGTTTTTGTAGAACGAGTTTCTGACACAGCAGAAAAAGCAGTACGTTCGAAACGGATTTCATTGCAAAAATCATTGTGGAAGTCAGAGTAACACTTTCATTATCCCAAAAATGTTCATTAAACCAATTGTATTTCTATTATCCTACCGCATCTCGTTTTATTGCCTCAGAAAAAGGAACCAACCGAAATAATTAATAAAGAATACAAACATTCTCTACTTATTATTTTACTTATACTTCAAAATCAAGAAATGTTTCTTTTCGGGCAGTAACGAAACATTTCTGGAATATATTCAAATTGAAATATCTGGTATGCTATTAACTCATACTCAGAGTTTTCATTATGCTTATTGTAATATTAGTTAATAAGACTGCTAGGTGGCTTGAGGGAGCAAGACACGAACTTCAACCAGGACACTCCACTTATTTTTATATTTTTTATTTATTTTTTATGATGACTTTAATGTAGTTTCTTGGGGTTGATAGCTGAACATGTAATTGCAATAATGATTATAGAATGTCACTGTTTTTGTTTTTTTCCCCACTTTTAGAACCAAGTAAACCAAAACCGCTATTGAGTTGGTTAGACACGAAATTATTACTTATTAGAAAATTATTATGACTTCACTCTGCTGCAAAAGTGCGTGTGTGAAACCTAAGAGGATGAAACAATTGAATTTGAATGGTGAGACACATTTTCTGGTCTCATAATGTAGAAGAAGTTTTGTTTGTTTATTATGAGGCAAATTATGGGGAATAATTTTAGTCCAGATGTTTTAGAATACTTCATTGAAGTCTAGTATACGGTACAACTTACGGATGTCGTTTAAACCGTCACTTTGCGCCACGCTGCGATAACTGCGCAGATTGGAATTTGGAGGCTTTCTTGAAACGTGCTTTCTTTTAAAAGTGAATTGGTAATTATTCGGTGGTTAGGCTCAAGGATGGTTATAGAGAACGCGAGGGCCGAAGGCCCGAGCCTCGCCGTGACTTGGATCCGGGCGAGCGAAGCGAGAAAACTTGGTTTTGGAAGTAAATTGGTATTACAATGCGGCGGGAACAAAGCGTATGAAGGGTGAGACATGAAAATCGCCTATCCGTAAGTTTTATTCATTTCTATTAAAGCATGTAGTGTACTTGGAGGGAGGTGTTAAGGAGACCCCGCCGCCACGCTTATCTGAAGGTGTACCGTGTACCCTACTTTGACCTTTAAATGTATTATATCATTGTGTAAATAAAATAAATCATTCTGAGGGGTAATTTTCATCTCAAAGTATACTACCTGCTTAAAAAATATAACGCTTATTTTCATCTTATCAGAGCCCATTTTAGTGCATAAATGGGAGATTTTAAAGCCTAAAAATCTGAAGCCTATTCATAACACACACAATTTAATACAATATTAAATGTTGTTTTTATTTTATCTTTTGAGTATCTAATACCTATAAAAAGAACTGTAAAGTGCCTTTGATGCAATTTCTAACAGGTTTGTGCTCAGTTGCTCTTGATCTACTGAGCTGAAGCAAAATAACGAAAACAATGATAATTCAATTCTAAACAGCATTGAAAATATTTGTATTAACTATATAAAGAAAAAAATCTCATTATGAAGATGTGAACAGAAATTTTGTGAAGAATAAAAGAAAGGAATATAATTTGTGAATGATGAATTAAAAAATATAATCTTAATTTGCGATTTCTGGAAAATGAATGAAGATTAATTTCATTTTATAATACTTGAACATTGTTTCCTTTGATAGAGATGAATCAATAATTATATTTATATTTTTAAGACCAGTATTTATTATTTAGTTTAATGTTAGCACTAATGAATATTCAACAAAGTTGTAACATCAAATTTGTAATAATTTGTTTTATTTCAAATAACCATAAACCAAACCAGAATAACAGAATTCATTATAATATCAATATTGTCATAAATGTACCTGAATTAGTCCATTGGTACAGTAACATCAATGTGTCTCACTCTTCGCAGTTTCTTATAAGTTATTATGATGAGAATAGCTGGGCATGCAGCCAAGACCAGAAAGCACAAAGAAATAATAAAAAGATATGGACCAAATTTCACCAAAACTGCTTCAATACAGGAGTAGGAGTGGATATTGGTTGTGCTGCACTTTCCAACATCTTTATTACAACAACTTGCTGGGAGATATCCATAAAGGAGCCATTCATTTGATGATGTAGCACCACAACATTCCACTTTGTTTTGAAAGAAATCTACAAATGTTTGAATGAAAAACGATTGCTTCTTTGAATATTTCCATATCAAACATTGTCCAATCATTTGTGGATGAAATGTTGCGATAATTACTACTCCAACTGCACCAGCAAAGAACACTGCTGCAGCTAAAATGTGTATGTCAAGGAATACTGTGGGTTCTTGTTGGATATCGTAAGAGAAGACTATAAGCAGTGTGATTCCTGATGCAATAATGCAATGGAGAGTGAATCGGTAGAGACACGGAGATACTTTGATTACACATGGCTCTGGAAAAGTATATAAAATCAAACTTGGTAAAATGATGAAAACAAGAGCAATGCCTAATGAGCATAAGTTGAGAGTTATATGTAAACATTTTGCCATTGACCTCTTTTTGTAATTGACTTCATTTCTTTGCAATAGTAATTTTTTCAACTTCTTTGTAATCTTTACATATTTGTTCAATGCGTTCAAATCCATTTCTCCTGCATGTATCGTCATTTGTTTTTTAACTTTTTCTCTAGTTAATCTAATAAACGAATCGCGCATTCATAATGCTTTGAATGACGACATACGAAACTTTTTATAACAAACGAATGTCGCACGTCGCTGTCATACATTTACGCTAATGAGTACTAGAAAAAAGGAAAAGTGTGAATTTCGGGCAAGTGAAGTTTAAGTTTTAACTTCTGATATTTTAATGTAATGGGAAGAAGTGAACTTTTTACTTTTCTTGCAAAGATGTATTCCCGAAACACCTACGGTGCAAATGCGGATTCTGTTTGCCGTGTTCTTACTTCTCAGCAGAAAACTGCTATCTCAACTCTTCGCCGCCGAGCTCACTGGTTGAAACTAATGTCCGTCATTAATTTTGTTCAAAAATAAAATCTTTAATATGTGGCTTTTTCAAGGCGAAACTAGTAGTGCTAGAATAACACTAGTAGTATACTCTGCTGAAGGGCGAATTAACGTTTTATCAGTTATCTAATAGAGAGCTTCAATATCACACATTTAAGTTGCAACGAAGCTCCCGTTTGGATAATCGCGTTCCAGCTGATCACTGACAATACACCTTACCTTTTAATCAGAGTTTACTTTCTCGTATTATTTGTAACGGTTACGTAATATAATAATACTGCAACTTCTAACCCACTAACACTCCAGCCATTGGAAACTACTACTGTATTGTATTCTTTCTTCCTTGTGGGTATTATTGATACAGATATTTTTTTGGACGTTTGTACCATAATGTTTTAATATTATAATGGATTTTTAAGTAAGATAGATATTTTTAGGTGCGGTAGCTTTTATTTGTGTTCGTAATACGTTCATTACACAGAATATTCTAAGCAGTTTTCTGTCACAAATAAGAAAGTTTTAAAAAATGTCGAACCGCTAGTTTCGCTGTACATTACGAGAATTTGAAAATACCGCTCAGTCCCACTTGATTCCTCTCGGTTAGAAAGAAAAGAAAATTTTAAAAAACGGCAACGTCGAGTTGTTTTGTACTTTACACGCTTACATTGCCAGTTATTTGGTGAATAATACGAATATGGAGGAAGCACGTGCTTCTCAATACGTGACGAACATTCGGAAAGAGATTAGAAGAGTTATTCTTGTTAGGAAGTTGGCATTCATCAGATGCGTCATGGGTGTATTTAGCAACTGTGTGTCAATGGGACTGAAAGAATCGTGCATCTTCGTGCTGTCAAAGTCGAACAACGCCCAGGTGAAGGTTTTCAGTGCCCGAGATTTGCGTATTGCTCAAAGAAAACGTCATGGAATCATCAAATGGGATTTCTCCTTCTGACGGACCCGAAATCGTCCAGGTAAGACGTCCTGTCGTGCATTTGCGTAAAAAGGCTGGTATCAGGCAGGGTCTGCAGCGTTATCGAAACGTGCGTGTATATTTGCGCAGGGAAGTGAGAACGCGTCTGATGACGGTAGCCACGAGACTCGGACGGGAAAAGCACCTCGTAGAGTACTGCATTTTAGCGACGGAGTTCTGGAAGAATACAGTACGGATGACGAAGAGGAAGAGGTTGATAAGCCAGATCCTTCCAAAGCTATTGACACGGTAAGTTGCGAGATGCTTGTTTAATTTCTATTGTTTTGCTATTTCAATCTATAATTGAAGACCTGAAAAAAAAAAAAAATAAAAAAAAAAATATGTAAGTTCAATTTCTGTTAAATTAACGTTTTTACAAGAATGACGAATGAATCAAGCCCTATATCGTAAGTCCATAGGCATTTCATAATAGTGTTTTAAGGGGTGATTATAAACGGCAGGAGTTGTATGTGGCAATAGCTTTAACGTATATATAAACTCATGTTTCTCGAAAGTGTGAAAATGGCACTTGCATTCTTTTTTATTTCAAGCCTTCGATTGTAATATTTTTTTAAAATCTAGAAGCAAGACAGTGATTGCAAATGAAATAGATTTTTTTTCAAATATTTCTGTGCACAACATTTTGAGAACATTCTGTTCTCACCATCGGGTAATGCTTGGTGCCATTTGGAATTGCTAGCAGGAAAAGCGTAGGCTGTCACTGTTTGTAAATAATTGATTGTGATGTATGTTTTGTAACTGGAGTAGTATGGTATCTGTGATTGTTTTGAATGCTGGGATCAAAAGATGGAGTAACAGATATTGTATGTTTCAGAAAAAGTTGTCATGGCCCCGATACTTCTTGTATGCAACAATGGCTTTTGGGAATGGTACTTTAAAAGTGTGCGACTACCTCGGTGAAGGTTTGGCCAACATCTTGGGAATAACCACACCAAAATATCAGTATGAAATTAATGAGTATGAGCGAATGGTGAAAGAGGTAAGATGTTTTTATTTTAAAAAGAAGTAATGTCTTGTTAACTCTTAAACTACCAACATTTTTTGATTCAAAGAGTCAGAGAGGGTGTAAGGGTATTGCATCAAGAAGAAAATTAATTTATTATTAATACGTTTACCCTAACACTGTTTTGATTAGATTAAACCTTAATTTGAGTTATTGGTATACCTTTGTGGATTTTAACTATGTGCACTTCTCTATAACTTCGAAGGCAAAGTCCATTACATGATTACCATGACATGTACATACATTACATGATTACATGATGCTGTTAACATACATTACAAAAATACTAAACCAAGGGTATTAAGGGTTAAGCATGCTGTAATAAGACTAAATGCCAAAAAAAGTTTTGGAAATTTAATATCAGATAGTGAAGTAAGATACAACTACACAAGTTATTCAAATTGTAAAGGAATTAAAAAATGAAAAACTGGATTTAAGTGGCAATGTGCGGTAATCAAGGTACCCCTGATTATTTGAAGGTTTAAATCTGTATGCATTGAATAAGTGGTACCAGTCAAATTTTCCGATTTTACTTGGGTATGTCTTCTAAAGTTTCTACAGTTATATAAAATAGGGTTTTGTAATAAATAGATGAAAGTTGGTAAAATGTACTCCAGTTTTAGTACTTTTGACCTTTACAAAGCCAATGTAATTACTGACATCAGTAATGAGAAAAGTTAAATAGAGCCTCCCCTCTATTCTTCTTTACCTTGATTTAAAAAATGTTTCAAATGAAAGAAAATTAATTCTTGGTAAGGAGGTCAGTTTTTTATTTTGACATGCTTTTTCTTGTTTCTTGCTTTAAAGTTTTAACCAGGATAGTAATCTGAGCTGATAATGTACCCAAAAGACTGGTCACTTTTGCCCTATGATATTGCGTTGTCTTGAAAAAAGAAAGGAAAAGAAAAAGACTTGAGCATGCATGCTAAAAGCTCATTGCTTTAAGATTTGTATAGTCCACCAGCCAACAAATGCTTTTTTTTTATTATGCAGTTGTAATATTTTTTGCTGGTATAATGTTTTTATTTTTTAGAAGTGCAGTAAATATGTTGAGTTTGAGGCCCAAAAACCTTATTTATTTTTCTTTTCATTGATAAATATTTCGTAAACTTACGAAAAGATTTAATGATATCACTGGTTGAGGATAATGGTTTATCAAGAATAATGAATTATTACTAAATTGCCATTAATAAGTTTTTCAAGGTTGTCTTTGTGGATTAGAATTTCAAATATGATGTGTGCAATAGCGAGTCATAAATGCAGCCCAAAATAAGGACATTTTTTTAAAAGTATGCTTATGCAACAGTCTATGTACAGTACTATACTGCACAATTCAGTACTATGTAATCATTGCGTATCACCAGGAATTAATAGAAAGCACATAGTTAATTTGGTAAACAGTTTCAGTATACTCTTTTATCTTTTGAATAACTTAGGGTGATCATCATCAAATTCGTTATTTAAAAACCAACTAAACCTAACCTGAATGTCTATATAATATATATTTTTATATGATAGAGGTATCCTCTAATAATAAAGACAACCCAACCAAGTATTTTTATGACAGAATTACATTTTTGGCATGCATTTAGACAAACATTTCATAACACACCATCGGGTAGTCTAGAATTAAGCAGTTAATTATCATGTAAAAACCATCAAATTCCTTAATTTTTTTCCCCTTTATCTCTACTCTTAAATATTGTTGAAGCATTAAAGAATGATAGATCATCTTCACACTGCTTCTTTAGAAAACACCAGTGTAAAGATTATGATCAAAAGAATCTGAGAAGAAATATCTTTCTTCAATCTTTCCTGCAAGTGATAACAATAAAGATAAGATTTCTTTATGAATTAGGAAGCTGGAGTGAGAACTTTGATTTTCTTATGTTAGTCACTAGTTTTAATACATTTTGGTCTGAGGAATTTTTTGCGTTCATAATTCTTCTATATGCTGTTGTGTAATTATAATTTTTCCACACATACACAGTATAAAATATTTAATGGTATTTGCTTTTGATGGGTGCCATTCCCCCCTGTCCATTTTCCCCCTTTTCCTTTTCATTAGATGCGTCTTTATTTATTGATTATTTCGAAAATATTAAGAAAGATAATTTTTAACCCAACATACGTACATAAGTTGGTTTAATTATTTGAAAATTGGTAACAGTGCTATTAGTATCTGCAACTTGAAATCATTGAAATTGAATTGTTATCACAACCAAAACATTGTTTTAAAATATAGGTGTTGTGGTGCGTTATCGTTGGCATTTTTCATGAAATAATTATAAACGTTGTCATTGCCAACAGTAGTATTTATTGGAAGAGCAGCTTTCGATGGCTTAGCCGCAAGGTAGTTGTTTTTGTGGCTTCCATTCAGCAGACAACTGATGATGATGATGGCTAAGCCATCGAAAGCTGCTCTTGCAATAAATGCTACTGTTGGCAATTACAACGTTTATAATTATTTCATTGTTTTAAAAGCCAGATTCTTTTTAAATCAATAATTTTTTACTGCTTGATTTAGGCAAAAAAATTAGCAACTAAGGTAGCTAATGTATTTATAAAATCAGTTTTTGAAAAAAGTGCAGTTTTTTCTTTCGATCTTTTAATGACTTTTTCTACTGAGGCTCTAAACACTGTTTTAAGTAATTTTCATGAGAAAACTAGTAGAAATTATGAATTTGTGTGACAATTGATTAGTCACTGCGTGCACTGATGTTACACTATTTTGAACTGGAGTACAGTAAACATGAAATTAATATGTGTATATTTTGCTTTGCCAGCATTAAGATCTTTCTTTCACGAAAGTCTTCTTTGGAGAATTTTTTGATGTTTCAAAACTTTGAATGTCTACATGACTTCATAGAATTGTTTTTTTTATTTATTTATTTACAAGAATATGGTTGCATCAGCCACTCAACATGGCTTGTAGTAGGAGGCAGATTTTAATGAAATAACATTTTTTTCTTTTCACTTTAGAACAATGTTGTTTAGTATAGAAATTAATTTTATGTTATAACCAAAGGAAACTACTGATTTTTAAGGTAATTTTTTTGTCGATTTTCACTAAAAAGTCACTTTTGTCATTTTCAATGCATTGTTATACTGTATATATATTGTATATATTGTTTCAATGCATTGTTACCGGTCATTTTTAATGCATTGTTTACTGAAGTCATCAATTTGAATATCATTTTAATGGTACTTGCTTCAAGTAATATTTATGAAATGCAACATGTTCTTCACAGAATTCCTGAGTAACCTATTTGATTTCTTCGCTCAGAAATTTAAATGACAGCCATTATGCATAAAGTTACTGTGACGCTTGTCTATGCCATTGTTGTGTTTGGTCAATTTTAGGATAACCAGAGGCAGAGATTTCCTGATAAAAAACGGACCACAAAAGTTTGCAGGCTGAGTGCTTTTAAATGAATAGAAGGAGCCGCTATTACTTCAGTAACTTGATGATCCAGCTTGAGTTGTTCATCCGCCCCTAGTTATTAGTGACCCAGTTCAATTTACAGGAATTGAAAACCTTCATGTTTTACATTATTTTCAAATTCAGAGATACTAATATGCAATGCAATACTCATTTACTTCTACTCTAATTTAATTGTAGTGACTTCGGATGTTTGATCAGCTGGGCATGGTTATCGAATCGAGAGCTTCATTACAATTTAATTTTTGATATTGAAGTTCCTGATTGCATAACTGCGCTCCAGCTAATTGAATGTCGGAAGTCACTGTAATTAAATCAGGGAATAGAGTAATATATACACAAGAATCTCCAGTCATAATTTGGTTAAAGAAGCCAGCAATAAATCAGCATTCTTTGTTTTGCAGCAAGAAGAAGCGAAAAAGAAAGAAGATATTGAGATGCGTGGATGGCGTGAAAACAGTTCTAATGACAATCCACCTGTGGTTTCTACCAGTCCAGGTCCTGCTGTTGCCACAATTTCAGAAACCCAGGAGCGATATTAAAGGATCTTAACGTAACTACTGTGTGCTCAACTGTTGATGTTTGCAGATCAAATTTGCATCAAATTTGTAGTTTTGCTAAAGATATTTTACCAATTTTGGTAGCTCAACAGGTAGCTCTTGCAGCAGTGGTATTGTTATACCTGGGCATGAGTAAAGCATTGAACTTTTTTTTCCCAAGAGATGCAAATGTCAGAATTTCTTGACTTCTTATTGTCCTGGAATACGATTTTTTAAACATTTTTGTACACAATCTCTTTGTGAACAAAGTACTGACTGAAAATGTAAAGAAGGTCAATGAAAAGGTCAGATTATTGAGTGATGGCTTGTGCAAGTTTCTGAAGTGGAGGAAACAAGTTTATTGCTTAAACATCTGCAATTGAAACTTACTGCAAATTAGAGTATACATGTTGACTTGCGATGGGAGAAGGTTTGTCAGATCTATTAGTTCAGTTTTCCTGTGGCATATGTCAGTCAACGATGTAAGATTACACTGGCTGCCATTGTCTGAGCATTCCCTTCCAGAGAAAACTCCATGGCCCAGTTGTCTCGGCCAATAAATGACAGTGCAAGAGAGGGGATTTTCCCCTTTAGTGGAATAGCTCCATTAAAAACGTTTTTTCTTCTGGTCATGGGTGATTAACTCGGGTGAGGAGAAAAGGCTGAGTTCCACCACATAGCGACTTTAGACTTGCATAGCTTAAAATACACATAGTTTAAAACACTTTATTACAATAACTTTCACTACACATACCAACTAAAATTTGTGCATTTTTCTTCATTCGAAGCAGAAGTTTTATTTGGCAATTACAAGAAGAAAATATAAGGGCAATTGCCCCCCTTCTCTCTGAGAAAATGGCAACTGGTGATGCCACAGCATTATTTACCATATTTCAACCTGATCTGCTAAAATATAAAAATATTAGTGTTAGTTGCTTCCAAAAAGAGGTACAAATGGTGAAATGGTACTAGTTAAGGAACTACATGTATGTGACCAGGACAGTATTTACTCGGCTTCAACATTTTGAATTTCACTATAGAACTGTGCCATTAAAAGAAATCAACTATGCACTCCAGGAATTGTATGCAAGACTTACCAGATTGGTCATAAATACAATGGAACTCCAATTATCCAGATTAATTAAGACATGTCATGAGCCACATAAAATAATTGGATAATGAAATAATAAATCACAATTAAAAGGTAATTTGTAAAAAACACTAAAAAGTATGTATATTTCACTGTGAGTACTAAAACACAGGCTCTCAAGGAACAAAAAACCAAAAAACTTATAAGATGGAACTTGTAGTGGCAAATCAATGTAGGTTAAGATCACGTTCCTGATTGATAAGTCCAACAATGCGCACAGTACATGTGTTTACTGTATTCATTGTTCTCTGGAAGATTTTGTGTTTTAATTCATTTTGCTGCAGATTGATTATAGAAAGATAAAGAAATGTACAGTAAAGTAATAACTGTTGAAGAAAACCATCTTGTTGTTTTAATAAAGTAATTTTACTCTATCAATTTTTTTCTTCAAAAAGATATGGATTATGGGAGTTCTAGTGAATACAAATGGTGCGCTAGGAGGGATGTGCAATGTAAATATTCCAATTGGACCTCCATTTTAAAAATATTTATTGATACATAATACATAACAAGTTTTATTGTATACAAATATATTTAGATACACTAAAAAAATATGTATTTATTTTTACATGCACTCACAAATACAGGAATGTGGTCTATATGTATTCAACTCATATCAGTATGTTTTTGACTACATAAATCAGTTACCAAAGATGTCTTTCATGGATAGTGAGATTTTAGAACGCTCTTTATTATTGTGCAATATATTTTCACACTGAAGTTGTTTGTAATTGATAACTGTCCAGTTGTCTTAAGACTTGTTTTGACTGCTGTAATAAAATAACTTTTCTCTTTAGAGCACATCATTTGCTGTGCACATTTTTGTACATTGTTTTTTACATTTTGCAACGTTTTCAGGAACAGCCACGATTTAAGGAGGAAAAAAGTCAATTATATAATACTACTTACTTCTGCTGATGGAAAGTAGTGCTCAGAATTTATTTTTCTTCTGCAGTAAGATAAAGTAAACCTTAGTGACACATGTATCTGAAACCTTTTTATTTTGTGATGTGGAGCTTGAGATGAATTTGGGTTTGAAACGAAAATCTTGTTTGGAAGCAAAGAGATCGGATATGCCTGTAAAGGTTCTGTTACCAACTAAAGGTACCCATAATTGACAAATGTATTGGTTGATTGTCCCATGAATATGTGTCACTGTAAGGGATTATTTTTGTATATATCTGCAAGAATATGTTCAATTTTCTATTAACATGTGCTTCTGCTGTAAGTGGACATCATTGATTCCACAGAAAATTGGTTGTTAGTGAAGGTGGCTGCATAACAGTTGTGAACCAAAGAGTGCAAGAGGGTGTGTGTAAATGTTTGAACCCAGTATATTTTTCAATTTTTGTTTAGCCAGGAACTCTTTCTTCATTTAGAACTTTGTTTTAGAACTTTTATTGTTGATATGCCATAACCCTAAGTGATAGTTTTGTCTTTTAATGCTTATTGAATGTTAACAAAACAATTCAAAACCATCACAATGTGCAATTGCTTTGCGGAAACTCTGGTGATCTCTTGTAGCCAGGAGTGCTCATAGACATGTTAAATTCTTATTTTAGTATCTGTTGATGCAGAGAATAGTTGTGCAACCGTAGCAACATATTGAGAGGCCTCTCAGCGATTCCTTTTTGTCACTTTTTACAACCTTATTCTCACTTTCTTTTTCTTTTTTTTCCAAAAATTGATTTATTGATTTAACTTTTTATATGTTATCTTGAATGTATTATAATTCTTTGAAAATCAAGGTAGGAATAAAGTGAAAAAAGTCAAAACAGCAGGAAACTTTTGTTTGGAAACTAACACAGGGTGGCCACTTTCTGAAAAACATGGAAAACCGGGAAAAATCAGGGAATTTGAATGCTCTGGAAAAGTCAGGATTAAATCAGGGAATTTGTGGAAGAATTATTAGAAGTCACGGAAAATTTGGAGTTGGTTATAAAACTAGATATTATTCCTAAGAAAATAGTACAGCATTATATTTTACTCAATTTTTATTTGTTAAGTTTGTTTAATTTGTATTTTATCTTTGCAAAACTAAGGGAGCTGACAAATAAGTTTCACGCTTGCATTAATATTTTCTTAAAATATTGTGAAATATTCTATAAATCTTATCAGTGAACAACAACAACAAAATGCTCTGGAAAACCATGAAAATTCAGGGAAAAATGTTTCGGAAAGTGAGTGGCCACTCTGTAACATTCCAAAAGAAAGAATGATAGAAAAGAAAGAAAGATATGTGAATGAACTCAAGAGAGGTATGATGATAGTATAGCATGAGCAGCACCTTCGTGAAAATAAACGCACACGCCAGCAGGGGAAGTTATGGGAGGATTTTTATGTACCTAGTGACGTTAAAATGCTGCATTGTTATGGTCCCCGTAGAAGAAATTGTGACAGCTTAAGTTCATCTTAAAGTTTGGCAATTTATTGCTAATTTCCATTATTTTGATGAATACATACATTTCCTTCTACAGTTATCCGGTATAGGCTATGATTGCATAATTGGCATTTGAAATTTGCTGATTTCTGATTTTGAAGTAAATGCTTGATAATTTTGGGGTTTGATATAACCAAATATGAAGTTTGCTGACTTCGATGATGTAAACATGAGTTTGTATAATGAGACAACTTTTTGTCCCTTTTTTATTCATTCTGATTGCTGTCGCTGTCACTTTTAGGAATATTACAGAAATTTATTATTGTCACTTTCAGGAATTACGTCAGATTAATGATGTTTATATTGGCAAATTGTTGTTTAAGATATTGGTTAAGATTTTTTGTGCAAGGAGCCTGTCCAGATATTGGTGTTCCTGACAGTGGTGGTTGTTCCAAGATACCCTTCTAGAAGCACCAATGTTAGGAGGGTTTCACTTGTGCTTAATGACTGATTAAACTTGGGAAGATGAATTTGTATTTAATATTTATTATGTGAGACCTTTCTGTAAATTTTTTTTACTCTGCAGTTCTTCTGACACTCACCAAAACCTTCACACAACTTAAGTTATTTACTAGTCAAGTATTGGACTTACATTCCTAAGACTATTAAATCTTCAAATCCTTTTAATTGTGAAGATTTACGATTTGGAAAATTGAAACTTATCTTTGTGAATTTTTTTTTTCCAGTCGATTAAATCGTTTGCTTTTAAAGTATGTCTATTCTCCAAGCTCTTAAGCTTTGAGACTTCTGTAATATAATTTCATTAATATGCTCATCAAGACTTGGATGAATTTATTTTTCTGTGAATGGGAGTAGAGAATTAATTACCTGATTAATTTGCTGTATAACCTCCTTTCATAGTGAATTCAAGTATGCTCAGTTTTCCTGATTTGCTGTTGCCCTAAAATGGCCACAATAGAACAGCTGAAATGTTGGAAAATCAACCCACCAAACAGCATTGCCTGGGCAATATGCGTTATATTCTTTGAAATAGTTTTGTCTTTGAGAGCATAGGCTTCCTTGGCCAGACTTGACTGCTTCGACGACTCTGCTTCCTAGGCAAATATGCCAATGTTTCGGCTGCCATTCTGTGACCTGCCTCATAGTGAAATGCCAAGTAGTTTTGCCCTTGCTAACTTCTTTTTATGCCATCCTTTCTACATTTATTATGTAGCCCATTTAATTGTATGCAGAGGAGTTGATGAATTGCATTAGAAAGATTTACGATTTTTTTCACCTCTAAGTAGGCTAGAATTATTACATTGTTTAATCTGTATACAAATGTACATGTTTTATGAAGCTTTTCTTTAATGTCTTATGTAACATTCCACAATCTGTTACATTTCGTGGTGATACTGAAGGGTCTGTGTCTGATGTTGTAAATCACCGAGTTGTCAGAGTAATACATTTTCAAAGTGTTTGGTTGCAAAGAGTTTATGTACTGTATTTTTGTTGCATTTTTTTAAATGTGTACTAACTATTCTATATAAGGAGAGACAAACATCTGGTTAAAGGAAAATGCAGTTGAGAAATGTGAAATTCGTATCCTGCTTGTGTAATAGATTTAAATTCTAGTCATACTTTCTTGTCATCTTGGGTACTTCTGCTTATGAACTTCTGTTTTTATTTAACCAGTCTGCATGTTGACAATCCTTTTGCATAGTTTCAAGTAAAATAACATAATAAATGTAATATTTTCTTTATATTTATGACAATCAGTAGACAGTGTATGTATTAACAAGTCAATATTTTTACAAATGTATTTATATACAGTATTTTTACATTGTACAAGGCAAATTATATCTGTAGAGTCACAATTAAAACTATAGTTATTATGAAAGTTTTCTTCTTTGTAATATTTCAGATTTTGTCTTTCTTGTTCCTTTGGTCTCCATGCACTGTCTCCAAGGCACTGACTGCGATGTGATGAGACTTCACAAAAGAACTTAACTGTGGATTACTCCAGGCGTTCAATGCCCAACAAGGGTTTAGAGATGCTTTGAGATGATGATACAACAAATATTAAAAAAAGAAATTTGTGCTCCAACAGCTCATACTTTCTCGCATTTCTTGTTTTGCCACTTTCAAAAATTTAGAGAGGTAAGGAAAATTAGACGTACGCCTTTCCTTTAGGCAATTTGTTGCGGTTTTGGAAAAAGTTTCTTTTATAAATTTCATTAATTTCAAACAGTAACAATGCAAAGAGTACTAATTAAAAATGTACATGATTTTTTTAAAGATCTGAGATCCCATAAGCCAAAGAAACTCGCCTTCGTCCCTCCCTCGGAAAGATATTCTGCTCGCTCTCGCCTCCTCTATGGGAATGAACGCGCGTGTCCTGCGGCTACTTCCTTAGGTTCGCGGGGTCACATGACCCGCCCCCGCTTCCTTCTTGGCGATTGGCGGGCGCGCATCACGCGGTTTCTTCCGCCCAATCGTGACGCCATTGACGACGGTTTGAGTATCGCCAAGTTCGGCTGAACTCAAACGTCCCTAGAGTTCTAAGAACTGGCGCCGGGTTATGAAACGGCAGCGTCTGCATTTCCCGTCCGATATCTGTCGCCTCTGTCGAAACAATAGCGCTGCCTGCCTCCGCGTCCCCAACGCTCCCTACACCCTCGCAGGTAAAGATGCACCTTTCCTGGCCTGCTGACATTCGTTCTCAGCAACGTTACATTGAGTAAAGTGTTAAAATACGCGTCGCAACCTGGCGCGCGCGACCATATCATTATATTCACCCCCTCCACAGCCTAACAATGAAATTGGCGAGCAATAACGGTTTCACGGCTCTAAAACAAATAACGAGCACGGGACAGGAGCAAAAGGAAGGACGACAATCATAGATCAAAACAAACTGATAAATAAAAAACTAAAACCGTGCCGCTAAAACTACTCATATTGAAACAAGCCATCAAAATTAACGCTATCACATGTTATCAAATTCTTTATTAATTATGATAAAAATCGGGAAGAATAAAATCCCAAATACTCGAAACTACTACAAATCCTCAATAGGAGAAAATAAATCCAATAAATTAACACTAGCGATAAAACCATAAAATAAATTAATAATTAAACATGTAAGACAACGACATACAAATAAAACAAACAGGTGTTCGGTAGAGTCGTAGAGAATGTCATACACAAAAATTCACAACTATAACATCAAGCTATCTATAAGAGATCAATAATAAAACACGACCAACTTACAATTCATTCACGGAAAGGAACTAGGTTGGATGAATTGTACTTCCCTGCAGGTTGACCGGCGACTCCGGCGAGTTCAAAATTATTGGAATGGGGGCTTTCTTTAATTGTGAAGGGACCAGCAAACGACGGGAAAAAGAGAGCAGTTACTTGCGCGCATCTGACGTAGATGCCGTACATAAAAGCATTCTGTCGCCGTCCACTCTCGGCTGCATTGCCCCCCTGAAATTCGCGGCTGATCGAATTTCCCTAATAAGTCTTGAAATTAAAGAATATTTTCAAGATGTGCACTGTTTAGCGAGTTTTAAATTCGCTCCGGAAACTGCGATGTGATAATCCAGATAAGCCGGTTATCAGAAATTGACGGGACGTACAAACGGAACGCTGCTATCTTGCCAACAGCGTAGTCTAAATTTTGTTGTTAATTTTTTCAATTAAATTTTTTGTTGTTGCATAGTGAGAAGAATGTTCAAGGAAATTGTACAGGTCTCTTTTTAGTTGATTGAAACCCCTGATTTTCAGGGGAAACAATGATCGCTAAACGATTTGTTTTTTAGTTTTTTTCAAGTACAGACGAAACAAAAAAGAAAACGCTACAAGCGTTTTTTGTTTTTAAGCAACTAAAGTGCATTTGGGTTGACTTACGGTACCTACTAAGATGATCTGTTACCCATTCAATTCTAGACAAGGCAAATTGAGTGGAACGGTTCTTAGTGGTGCCCCAGGATATTATGAAATAATAAAAAAATACATGTTTTTGATAGTTTTGATTGAATTTATTTTGTCAAAGAACAGTAAGGTCTGTGACTTGCGCAATTGTACTTCTTTTCCACACATTTTCTGGAGCTCTAGATTCTCTTATCCACCTTTTAACCATGATCAGTTGAGTGATGGATAAAGTTGCAACAAAGCGAGGATAACATCATTTGAAAATAGACGTTTTCGTTCCCAAAACTTATTTTCATCGTTTAACGAACTGCAGGTTTTATTTTTCTGCATTGCTGACAAAATAATAACACCTCCCTCTGATCTACTACAACTCCAAGCAAAAAAAAGAACTCAACAAGATGTTTGCACAGAGATGCTACATGTATGTTCAGAAGCAAGGCATGGGGTCTTCTCAGCATTTGGTCCACTGGATGAAGTAAAGTAGACAAAATTTAGGGGTCATAGAAGCTGAAGTACATTTCGTGATATGGGCATAATTAGTCTTCTTAAAATTATACAGCACAAATGTTGCACATAGGCAGCCAAATTAATTCAAATTTGATGTCAGGCTCGGAGCTGTTTCAGTTTGGCTACTCTTTGAAGTTATTTAAGAAGAAAAGATTATTCATTTCAAACTTCCGCGTTCGAGATAGTGTAATCTTGGGCAAAATTTCGCCTGACGAGAACACAGAAAGGCGATTCACAGAACTTCTCGTAGCAGTTTCTGCTAATGCTCTCCCAGTCATCTAAGCAATATATCGCAGCCTCAACAAATGTTAACAAAATCATTATATCATTCTCAAAATAACAGTATTTTTTATTTTTGATGGCCAGTGAAGTCTCTAAATGTATAGAAACCGTACTACAACGGAAAAGATTTTACTTGGCACAAGATTAGTGTATCGATTTTAATTGTTTAATATTTTGAAATCGCGTTGTAAAGTAACGTACATATATTCCATGTGAATTTTTTTTGTAGTGAGTTGATTCTAGTACCTGATGAATTTGATTTTTAGGACGCGTTGCGTTTATAAATATCGGTATTGCGTGAAAATATGTCATTCATTTGTTAACTACGGACAAGAACGCGTGGTTATTTTAAAAATACATTTTTAAGTTTTTATAAATTCTTTGGCGTTTCTACGATTTTGTCCTATGCTTCTTAATTTTTATTCTTTTTCGTCTCTTCATTTTTTCTCGCTAGACCTTTGCAAGGGAGGGGGGCTCAGACCCTCGGGCCTTCTCTCCGGATCCTCCATTATCCATCATGAGCGTCCCGGAAACTAAAATATTTCGAAAAAATGCTATAGAATTACTATGATTAAAATGTAAGCCGAATTAAGTATTTCAAGTATGGAGAATGATGAGCTTCATACTCTACCATTTCAAGTCGTCATTGAACAATTTTCTACAGAAAAATAGGAACAGTTATGCGATAACAGTAAGAATAAAGAATTTGTTTTTGTACTGTCCCTGGTCTTTAAATTTCATTTAGGTTAAGTGTATTACTATAATATTACTCAACTGTTACAAATAATGCGAGAAAGTATGTACTGTTTTATATCCACTATATTATTGTTTGCTTAAAAAAGAAAGTGCATTTATAAAAAATGGCGTAGTTGGATTTTCATTAAAACTTAAGAACTTTTGAAAATTGCAAAAATTCAAATATATTTCGAACGTGTTTTACGTATTAAACTCTTCTTTCTCGGTTCAGTTTATCTCTCAATTTTAGAGCTTTAAGTGATGTCATGCACTAAAAAAAGTGAGTAGTTGACTAAAAACGCCAATAGGAGGAAGAGGTTTGGTATTGGGCATATCCTCACATTGATTTAATGGCGATTGAATGGACGTCAGTTATGGTGGGTTTAAGAAAGTATCGTAGGAATTGTTTTCGATGTGGATTTTGTGTCGAAGTGTACAGCTGAAGGAATGTGATGAATTATAGGGTAGAAGCGGAAGGAACAGAGTCTATCTCGACGAAATTGGAGTAAAGTAGAATTCATTATGTAATTGGGAATTTGGTATAAATCACGGTGCTTTTATGATGTATAGAGGGATTTGTGAACTGCAGATGTAATCGAAAAACGTAAATAATAACAAACATTTGCGCATCGTTTGCTTGTCTTTCTTTGTGGAACTGAGTTTGAATGGATCTCAAACCTCTGTCATTGATTACGTTGATCCTTGCTCATCAGTGCCTGGTATTGCTGTCTTGTCCTTCACAGTGAGTTTCACTATATTCGTATTCTTTTCTAGAGAATGACAAAAGGTATTTCAATTCAAAAAGTTAATGTTTCAATTCCTTCATACTGTACTAGGAGATAAGCTCAATTTTTAATTACTTCTCTTCTATATCATTTCTTACAGACTATTTGAAAGCATTACGTTATTTGAGACTATAGGAAGTTAATGGTAAAAATATACAAATTGCTGCTGTCTTAATCACATTGTGAAACACAACTAAAAATTTCTGCAACATCTTAGTCACGACGTTCAGATATACCGTTACAGAATTGGGAATTAAATTCACTACTTTGTTCACAAATGTTATGTTTGCAATGAAAATAAACGCATTTTCCCTTCCAAATTATGATAAAATAGAGTTTTTTCTGAATAATAAAATTTAAAATTTCATCCTAAAAGAAAGCGTGGATGGGGCTTGTGTTAGCAGGAGGCACCCTGGACAAGAACCTGCTGGCGTTATCTAGATGCAGCTGTTAGTTCCCGTATTACGCCGCTAGTACCGGACCGGAAGCCAAAAGGATCGCGGTTCATAGACCAATTCCAGGCTTGTCAGTGCTATCCTATAGTCGTCAGTCCCTCGATGCCTCGAGATGGCAGGATTTAGCACTCTATCTTTCGAAAGTGGGAATCGTAGCAGCTTTCTGGAAGACTA